TCTCACTTAGACAAATACTCCTCACAAGGGTCTGCAAACTATTCTAGGTTTGTGGCAGCAATCTGGCAGCTTGTATCACCCAACCCACTTGGCCTAAGTGCAGTCAGTGTTCATCCAGACCAGCCCAGAAAGGAATGAGATATGATCTCGGGAAAATTCTTTAAGACTGCACCAGTCAGGCCGGGTGCGGTGGCTCACTGTAATCCCAGCACTTTGGGAGGCCGAGGGGGGCGGATCACGAGGTCAGGAGATTGAGACCATCCTCGCTAACATGGTGAAACCCCGTCTCTACTAAAAATGCAAAAAATTAGCCCGGCGTGGGGGCGGGCGCCTGTAGTCCCAGCTACTAGGGAGGCTGAGGCAGGAGAATGGCGTGAACCCGGGAGGCGGAGCTTGCAGTGAGCCGAGATCACGCCACTGCACTCCAGCCTGGGTGACACAGCGCGAGACTCCGTCTCAAAAAAAAAAAAAAAAAAAAAAAAAAAAAAAAAAAAAAAAAAAAAGACAGGGTCTCACTCACGTCTCCCAGGCTGAAGTGCAGTTGGTGTAATCACAGCTCACTGTAGCCTTGCCTCCCTGGGTTCAAGTGATTCTCCCATCTCAGCCTCCCAAGTAGCTGGGACTACAGGCACATGCTACATGTCGAACTAATTTTTTGTTATTTTTAGTAGAGACAAGGTTTCGCCACGTTGCCCAGGCTAGTCTCGAATTCCTGGGATCCAATGATCCGCCTACCTCAGCCTCCTGAAGTGCTGGGATTACAGGCATGAGCTACTGAACCAGATCACACATCACCTTAGCCCAGAAGGTCGAGGTTATCGTGAGCTATGAGACTGCCACTGCACTCTAGACTGGGTGACAGAGTGAGACCCTGTCTCTAAAAAAAGTAAAAATAAAATAAGATTGCATTTCAGGACCAGCAGTGAAGGCCAACAAGGTACTTCCAGTTTTAACATCTTACTTTTCTCTCGCTCATTACAAGGAGCTTAAGTTATTTTCCAAAGTAAAAACAGTCTTTGAGTGTGAGATAAATCATCCTAGGGGTCCTGTCCCTTACTTTCCCAGGACTCCCCTGCCGTCGTCCTGCTGCTCATGTTCATTAGTTTTGTTTTTGTTTTTTTAAGACAGGGTCGGCCGGGCGCGGTGGCTCAAGCCTGTAATCCCAGCACTTTGGGAGGCCGAGGCGGGTGGATCACGAGGTCAGGAGATCGAGACCATCCTGGCTAACATGGTGAAACCCCGTCTCTACTAAAAATACAAAAAACTAGCCGGGCGTGGTGGCGGGCGCCTGTAGTCTCAGCTACTTGGGAGGCTGAGGCGGGAGAATGGCGTGAACCCGGGAGGCGGAGCTTGCAGTGAGCCGAGATCACGCCACTGCACTCCAGCCTGGGAGACACAGCGAGACTCCGTCTCAAAAAAAAAAAAAAAAAAAAAAAAAAAAAAAAAAGACAGGGTCTCACTCACGTCTCCCAGGCTGAAGTGCAGTTGGTGTAATCACAGCTCACTGTAGCCTTGCCTCCCTGGGTTCAAGTGATTCTCCCATCTCAGCCTCCCAAGTAGCTGGGACTACAGGCACATGCTACATGTCGAACTAATTTTTTGTTATTTTTAGTAGAGACAAGGTTTCGCCACGTTGCCCAGGCTAGTCTCGAATTCCTGGGATCCAATGATCCGCCTACCTCAGCCTCCTGAAGTGCTGGGATTACAGGCATGAGCTACTGAACCAGATCACACATCCCATTAGTTTTTAAGCCCCAAAATCTAAATCCATCAGCTGCCAACTGGCACCCCTGTAAGTTTGACCCTCCCAAATCCCCCAGGACCTTGTCTCCTGGATTTACAGTCCTCCTCTGGCCTTCCCAGTGTAAATGTAGCATTCTGACTAACCCATAAAGTCTTCAACGTGAGACCCTAGAAGTTGCTGTGTTAGTTCCAAATGCCCAGCAGAGAATCTACAAAGGTCAGAGGTGGCCCAAAAACCTGAGGAAGAGACTGACACTTTTATCCTCATGCTCAGATACAAACACAAAGCAAGAAAAACCCCAGCCCTTTAGTAGTGGGTCTGTAATCAACTGGGCTCTCACTCCTCCAGAGGCACTTGCCTGGAAGAACAGATACTGTTCAAGGAATGACACCTTTTACTGCCTTACAAGTAAAACTTCTATTCATAGTAGATGAAAAATTGAAAATCTTCTATAAGAATTAACTAATTTAAGAAGATCATAATCTCAGCAACGTGCAAAAAGTTGGTTTAACAAGTTATTTGTTATTGTTTTTCTTGTCAGGTTGTTCAAGCTCATAAAAATATACATTCCTTGGTCAAGTATACTACAATCAGCCCTCCTTTCTTCCTTGAGTAACTAGGCAAGTTCTCAAAAAATATGACGACTCTTCAGCACCAGAGCTAAGCAGATACCAAGTCTGCACACCTCCTTAGGGTACCCCATAAAAGCAGGTAAACTGCTTACCACCACTCCCTGCTGATGAGGAGGAAGGAACCATGGCACAGTCCACAGACAGCAAGTATAAAGCACATCTAAACAAATAGGCATCAGAATGAAAGTGGGCAGGCTTGCAGTTAGGTTGATCCCCAAACAAATGTGGCTGCAGCCTCAACAATACCATCAAATTTGTGTAGAAAAGGGATCTTTGCCAAATGCAGTGGCTCACACCTGTAATCCCAGCCCTTTTGGACGCTGAGGATTTTTTCTGGATGCTTTTTTCCTGCTGAAGCAGGAGGATTGCTTAATGCCAGGAGTTCAAGACCAGCCTGGGTTAAAAAAAGTGAGACCCTGTCTTTACAAAAAAAGTTTTTTTGTGTCTTTTTGAGACGGAGTCTTGCTCTGTCGCCCAGGCTAGAGTGCAGTGGCGTGATAGCCGGACGTGGTGGCGGGCGCCTGTAGTCCCAGCTACTCGGGAGGCTGAGGCAGGAGAATGACAGAAACCCAGGAGGCGGAGCTTACAGTGAGCTGAGATCCGGCCACTGCACTCCAGCCTGGGCGACAGAGCGAGACTCCGTCTCAAAAAAAATAAATAAATAAATAAATAAAATAATAATAAATATATAAATCTCAGACACTAGGGCATATAAAAATCTGAATGGGCAGGTGAGTAGTTATACCAAAAAGTCATATCCAATGTTAGTTTCACACTTGCAAAGCAAAAATAACCTATTCTTATAAAACAAACACTGAAGGGGGACGTGAGATTTTTGCAATCCCCATGAAAGCTGAGACAAGCTCACACAGCCCATGGGTCATCTCATTTGAGTGTGCAGCTTTAGTTAGGAAGGCCTGTTGGCCCCAAAGCAGCCCAAACTAAAAGAGCAAGACAAGGTTCAAGGCAAGGAGCCATAACGGGTGGGCTCTTCTAACAGGTGGGGTTAAGGTAGAGTAATATGGCCTGGGGAACTTGGGCCATAGCACCCCAGGGCCAGACCAAGCAACGTGGCAGCCTTCCACAAACCCAGACTTAGGAGATGTAGCCCAGGTTCCAAATGGGCACATTCTCACAAACTAAACGCAAAAGCAACAACACTAGAGCCAGATGTTCTGCTTCTTGTTAACACGTTTCATTCCATTAAAAAAAGTTTTACTCTTCCTTAGGTTTGGGATTAGACACTCCAATTTCGAAAACACATAGGAGTGTCTCAAGTAAGATATGTGGATACACAGAGAAAGCAAACAACATTAATTAGCCAGGTATGGTGCCATGCACCTGTAATCCCAGCTACTCGGGAGGCTGAGGCATGAGAATAGCTTGAACCCGGGAGGCGGAGGTTGCAGTAAGCCAAGATCGCACCACTGCACTCAGGCCTGGGTGACACAGCGAGACTCCGCCTCATAAAAAAAAAAAAAACCCTGAATTTCAAAGGGAGTACATCCCAGAAATTTGTTTAGTTTTATTTTTTTGAGACAGAGGCTCCCGCCACCACACCCAGCTGATTTTTGTATTTTTAGTACAGACGGGGTTTCACCATGTTTGTCAGACTGGTCTCAAACTCCTGATCTCAAGTGATTCGCCCACCTCGGCCTCCCAAAGGGATGGTATTACTGGCCTGAGCCACCACCCTCGGCTCTTTATTTTTCCTTTTTGTTTTTTTGAGATGGCGTCTCACTCTGTCACCCAGGCTGGAGTGCAGTGGCGCGATTTTGGCTCACTGCAATCTCTACCCACTGGGTTCAAGCGATTCTCTTGCCTCAGCCTCCTGAGTAGCTCGGATTCCAGGCACGTGCCACGGTGCCCGGCTAGTTTTTGTATTTTTAGTAGAGATGGGGTTTCACCAGGTTGGCCAGGCTGGTCTTGAACTCCTGACCTCGTGATCCAACCACCTTGGCCTCCCAAAGTGCTGGGATTACAGGCGTGAGCCACCAAGCCTGGCCCTGGCCCTTTCTTTAAAAGGTAGGGCAGGCCAGGCGAGGAGGCTGAGCGTGGAGAATGGCGTGAACCTAGGAGGCAGAACTTGCAGTGAGCCAAGATCGCACCATTGCACTCCAACCTTGGTGACAGAGCGAGACAGTGTATCAAAAAAAAAAAAAAAAAAAAAAGTAGGGCAATGATGGGGATGCGCACAGTGTAGATGAAACAAGATTGGCCAGCAATTAGTAACTACTGAAGCTGGTGATGTGTGACAGACCCAAATCAACTGTGCATCATCTCGGCAAATTGACTTCTCCAAATCCTGAGGTGGGCTCTAAATTCAATTTTTGGAGAAAAGGACATTTCCTTGCCACCATAATATACTGTAAAACACAACTACTTCTTACTACTTTTATTACATGGTGCACAAATGGGCAAAAACATAATTTATTTAAAAATACAAATACATGCTTTAAAATGTAATAACATGAGAATAATCAACTGCTTACTTTCTAATGTACAAGAGTGTGTTCAATTTGTTACTTAACAAGATTATCTCACTAGGTGAAATAACTTCACTTAAAGGGAAAATTCTTCCCCAATGCATCCTCTTTATGAGCCAAACAATGGAAAATTTTCACCTCAGCAAGCTGGCCTCAGAGAGGTTCAGGCTCATCCCTGTTGCCTAGATACCAGTGACATCTCAGGAGCATACAGAAGGCTCTGGCATCCCTCTTGGAAGGGAGACTGGCAAAGGTTCAGTCAGTGGTTGCTCCTTCTTTCCCGGCACATTCCACTGCTCAGACAGATACAGGGCTAGCATACAGTGTACCTGTCTGTCACCTAGGAAGCTTTGAAGCACAAAAGAAGTCTATTATATCTGTTACACTGATTTCTAGATCTCCCAGGTCCCTGCCTTGCTCCCTCCCTACCCAGGCCCTGCATAAAAAACAAACCAAACAAACAAAAAAACTAGTTTCTACAACTGTATCAACTCTAGTCCTTGTTCTTATCCATTTGATTTCTTTCTCTCCTTTTTTTTTTTTTTTTTTTTTTTTTTTGTAGAGACAGGGTGTTGCTATGTTGCCCAGGTTGATCTTGAACTGCTGGGCTCAAGTGATTCTCCATCTGATTTCTAACAATGCCTGTGAATTCTAAAGTCACAAAGAAGGTAAATCTATCGAAATGACAATGTCAGACAAGACCACAGAAAATATAAAAAAAATAATTTTAATGACAGTTAATAGTTTAACTTTTCTCAAAAGCCATCAACTTGTCTATTATGTCAAATATGATAAAGTATTCATTTGGCCCTTTCTAACTCTGATAGTGGCTAAAGTTAAAACAACACCCTGAAGCTTCTCTTTAAATACTTAACACCCAAGTTACAGGATGCAATTATACAAACCCCACAGCAACAACCTACATAAATAAGCATCTTAGTTCACTTAAAATATTACCTGGCTACAATTGCAAATACAGCAAACATTTTAAACACTAGAATTCAACAAAATTACTGTAATCATGATCCTTTATTAAAAATATCATAGAACTGATGATCTACAACATTTTTGTTACCACGTTCCAAAGTTCCAGTACTTTTTCTTAAAACTATTCAAGATGATTTTTTGTTCTATGTACATTCTGCTACGGAAATGCTTAATTCCAACCAGTGACTAGTTCTATTTCCTCTGGTATTTAAGAGCACTAGATTTTACTGGTTTCTACATTTTATTTTCACCCATTTTTCTGCTAGTGTAGCTTTCTTGATATATGAAACCGAATACAATCCTAAAATGAAATAAGGCATTAGGATGCAAAAGACAAAAGCGGTCTCTAATCAAAAGTAAAGAGTGGAAATACCACTATGAAGGTGTCCTCTTATCCATTTAAAGGCCTTTTTTCTACAGTGAGGTTAAGTGTGTAGATTCCCTCATCGAACACCATCTGACGGGCCCAAATGGCATTCAACATTCAAAATGGCTGCACATCTGCCGACCCCAGGTAACACTACCTGAGGCGCTGGGCTGACTCCCTATCCAAAGATCTGGGAAGAAGACCCCCCAACCCGCCAAATACCTGGGGAGATCGTGGCCGCCAATGACCTGGGGAGACCCCTCAATGATACCGTAGATCTTGCGTTTCCCAAGACCGGGGGAGATCTCCTCAATGACCAGGAAAGATCCTGTCCCCCCACCAACCCGGGAGACCTCTCCAATGACCGGGGAAGATTCTGCACCCTCAAAATCAGGGAAATCTCTCCCTCAATGATCAGAAGAAAAATGCTCCTCCCAAATTACCCAGGGAAATCGAATCCACAAAGACCCCGGGAGATTTCCCCCACAAAGACCACGGAAGAAGTCCTTCCCAAATAAGCTGGGAGACTCCAATGATCAGAGATCCCATCTCCCAGTAGCCCAAAAAAATCTCCCTCAAAGCTCCTGGGGCACTAGGGCCATCGGACGCGAGTGTTACCTGCTGCCTCAGCCGGGTTCCTCGGCGATTCCGACCTATTGTTTCTCTCGCACCAAAATGGCTGCAGCCAGGCCGAGCCCCGCCCCCTGCACCTCGCTCCCGGTGCCCCTCGCTATTGGCTCGTCCTAGGAGCTGCGCACGCGGACTGGACAGCCTGAAAGGCGCTGTTGCTAGGGTGCCAGGATTCGCTGCAGCAGCTTCCGGAAAAGGCGGTGACTGGGGGCGGGGCCAGAGAGGGCGGAGCATTGTCCTCCGTCGGGGAGGATGGTCAGGAGGTGTGATGTGCGGCTGGGTGGACGGAGTAGCTGCGGGCCGATGGACAGCAGGATACCTGGGAAACAGATGGATTGACCAACAGTCCTGGTTTGTTCAGTACTGAGCGATTTCGCAGGATGCAGGAATTTCAATGCTAACACAGAGACAGTCCACTACAAACTGGGAAGTTGGTGACTCTAGCAGATGGACAGAAGACTGGATGTGAATAGACGGAAAGAGGGACAAAAGAGTGACTGTAGACGGTGGACAAAGAAATGGTTATATATACAGACAGACAGATTATTAGATATGGAAGGGTAGACAGAGAAGTGGCCATAGAGTTTTCTGGGAACTGGTGGATGACCCAGTGCCCAAGCCAGCTCCCACCAAGCTCCACACCACAGGGCTTGTCTGAGACTCATTTGTTTTGGGCCTGTGTTGGACAGAAGGGCTCTCACCTGACTGAATGTCAGTGTAGCTGTGAAAGGCAAAGGAGAGGGTTAGTGCCACTGAGAGTGGGCAGAGCCTCATACCTGATCTCTGCTCTTTCTGTAAAGAAGGCCAATGTTGCAGCCCTGTGTACTGGGTGTTTGCAAAGGCGTAAATTCACTCATACACTCCTTACTTCAACAAGTATTTATTAAGCACTTACACTCTGTATTGGACATACAGCAGTGAACAAAAAGGGAAAATAAATAAATATCCCTGACCTTGTAACAGTGGACAGGAGAGACTTCCTGTGAGCAGCTCCTCTCACCCTAGCATGTGGTTTCCAGGGCTCCATGTCCACCTGGTTTCCTCCAATCTCACCAGTTTCTCATCTGTGTGTTTTCTGTCTACGCTCACTCTTCCAAAATCTTATCCAGGCTCATGACTTTGAACGCCACCGTGTCAATCACTCCTAAAAGTGTTTGTCCAGTCCAGACCCTTCCTGAGTGGCAGATTCACTAGTCCCACTGTCAACTAAACGTCTGCACTCTGACTTCCAGTCATTGGCATCTCAAACGCAACTTGTGCCACCCTAACGCTGGCTCATCTGCCAAACCTACTTCACCCCACTTCCCCCAAATAGAGTGATAGCACCTCAACCCTTCTTATTGTTCAAGCCAAACACCTCAAAGTACCCCTTGACTACTCTCTTTCCCAGCTATATCCAGTGCACCAGAAAGTTCTGTTGTCCCCATCAGCATCATCTACCCAAAATGAAATCACTTCCTGCCATGTCCATACTCCACTGAGTCCAAACTGCCACCATTTCTCTAGAGGGCAATGTCACAGCTGCCTCCTGGTCTCCTGTTGCCGCCCCTGATGCCTTCAGTCTGTTCTGCACACATCAGCCTGTGAATACATGAGTCAGACCCTCCCAATCCCTGCTCAGAACCGTGGAGTACCTCCTCTCCAAGGAAAAACAGAGACAGCAGGACCCTCATGATTCCCTATTACCCCTCTGACTGTATCTTCCCGGCCAGCTTTCAGCCCTGCTGCTCAATCTCCCAGTGTTCCTCACACATCACACCCCATGCACTCTCCTCCACAGTGTATGAGCTATGGTTGTTTCCATGCCTGGATTGCACAGATTTCCAAAGGGCTGCACCCCAGCTCTCAGAGCCCCTCATTTCAGACTGTAACCTGCCCCACTCTGCCCCCAGCACTCATGATCACCTTTATCCCCTTATCCTGGCTCTATATGTTTCCGTAGCAGTTACCACCTCCTCAGAAATTTTTTATTTTTTGAGACAGAATCTTGCTGTCACCCAGGCTGCAGTGCTATGGCATTGCAACCTCTGCTTCTAGGGTTCAAGCGATTCTCATGCCTCAGCCTCCCAAGTAGCTGGGATTACAGGCGTGCACCTCCACACCCGGCTAATTTTTCTATTTTTCAATAGAGACAGGGTTTCACCATGTTATCCAGGCCAGGCTGGTTTCAAACTCCTGGCCTCAAGTGATCCATACTCCTTGACCTCCCAAAGTACTGGGATAACAGGCGTGAGGCACTGCGCCTGGCCGCTTATTAGCAGTTACCACCTTCTCATACACTTTTTTTATTTTTTGGAGACAGGGCTAGCCCTGTCACCCAGGCTGGAGCGCAGTGGTTCTATCACGGCTCACTGCAACCTCAAACTCCCAGAATCCCAAGTAGCTAGGACTATGACACCATGCCTGCCAATTTTTTTTTTTTTTTTTGAGACACAGTTTCACTTTGTCACCCAGGCTGGAGTGCAGTGGTGTGATCTCAACTCACTGCAACCTCCACCTCCTGGGATCAAGTGATTCTCCCGCCTCAGCCTCCCGAGTAGCTGGGTTTATAGGCGTGCACCACTACAACTGGGGATTTTTTTTTTTTTTTTTTTTTGAGATGGAGTCTCTCTGTCGCCTAGGCTGGAGTACAGTGGCGCAATCTTGGCTCACTGCAACCTCCGCCTCCTGGGTTCAAGTGATTCTCTTGCCTCAACCTTCCGAGAAGGTGGGATTACAGGCATGCGCCACCACGCCCAGCTAAGTTTGTATTTTTAGTAGAGACGGGATTTCTCCATGTTGGTCAGGCTGGTCTCAAACTCCTGACCTCAGGTGATCCACCCGCTTTGGCCTCCCAAAGTGCTGGGATTACAGGCATGAGCCACCGCACCTGGCCTATTGTTGTATTTTTAGTAGAGATGAGGCTTCTTTGCCATGTTGGCCAGGCTGGTTTCAAAATCCTGACCTCCAGTGATCCGCCTGCCTCAGCTTCCCAAAGTGCTGGGACCACAGGCAGGAGCCAGCGAGACTGGTCCTCTATTTTTTAAATTTTTAGTAGAGACAAGGCCTTGCTATATTGCCCAGGCTGGTCTCGACCTACTGAGCTCAAGCAATCCCTCTGCTTCAGCCTCCTAAAGTGCTGGGATTACAAGTGTGAGCCACTGCACTCAGCTTCACGCACTTTAAAAGTAAATGCTTATTATCCTTATATGGCATTGCCTCGCTTCTCCTACAAGAAAGAGAGGTCTGTGAAGTGAGAGTCGCCCTTTCATTCATGGATGTATCCTGAGAAATTCAAATACCAATTAAGCTCTAGATATACCAGTTGACTGACTGAATAAATTGAGTACCACACGGTGTTAAGTGGTGAGTACTGTGGAGAAAAATAAAATGGGGCAGCTAGAGGTTGGGGCAAGGTGAGAATCCCGCAGGTTAAGGTCAGGCCCAGAAGGCCCCTTACACCAGCAGAATCGCTGGGAAGCCTGGCCCAGTTCCTGTTCCTGTTCCCTGCCTGTGGCTTCAGGACCTACAGTGGCTGCTGAATAAAGGCTCAAAAGGCACCAATCATTTGAAACTGACTTTGCAAAAATTACAACTGAGGAAATTATGACACTGAAAGAGATCAGACGTAACTGACTCCATCTTGCTTCTAACCTTTAAATTGTCCTTGTTCATTCTTGGGCATAGGATGAACTAACCTTGGGAAGGAATTTAGTTTATGATTTGACTCTGAAACAAAATTGATAATAGCCCTTTCCCAAAAGACCCCCTTCTTGCCTGGGGACCAGTCTGCCTTTGTAGGACTAACAAATTAGCTACAAGATTAGAAACTACAGTTTAGTGGGGTCATGCAGCTTTTGGCTGCAAGAGTCTCAACCTCCCCAGACTGCTCCTGGGGATAACAACACTATTGTAAAACCTAAGATCAATGTCTGAGATGTTTTCAGACCCTGCACTCGATGCAGCTGACACCTCCCAGACCAGTAATCTGCCATCCCAGCCAGGTACAGAAGACAGCAAGAAAACCTCACTTTGACACCCCTGTGATTCTATCTCCAACCTGACCAATCAGCACTCCTCACTTCCTGAGCCCCTACCGGCCAAATTATCTTTAAAAACTCTGATCCCTGAATGCTCCAGAGACTGATTTGAGTAATAATAAAACTCTGATCTCCCATACAGCCGGCTGTGCGTGAATTACTCTTTCTCCATTGCAAGTCCCCTGTCTTGATAAATTGGCTCTGTCAAGTCAGTGGGCAAGGTGAACCCGTTGGGCAGTTACACATTCAGGTCCTTAACATATAGACCAGTGCTCTACCCTCTCCCCACCCCATCTCCCATTCCAGTGCTCCTCTGTGTGGGGTATAAGGCTGGGCAAGGCAGAGTCTCTTTGGAGCAGCCTGAGCATTTATTCACTCTTCCACTCCTTTTGCAAGTGCTTATCAAGGTCTGACTTAGATAAGACACCAGGGATGCAGCATGAATAAACACAGTAAAAATTAAAATGATTTATTTGTCCAGAGGTGGATGAGAGGCAACAGACAGTAAAAGAACAAATAACATAATTTTAGGCAGAGTGACTACAATGGAGAAAAGGAACCAAGCAAAAGTGCAGAGTATGGTGTTTACGTCTAAAGCAGCAGGAGAGGTAGAGAAGGGGACATCTGAGCTAAGATCAGCCCAAAGGCACTGACTGAGCATGGAAAGATCTAGAGGAAGCCATTTCTGGCAGAAAAGCACAGAAAGTACGAAGACCCCAAGGAAAGAAGAAGTTTGACGTTCTGAAGGAATATGAAAAAGCCACTTGGGTCTAATGGAAGAAGTAGCTCAGAACTTAAGGGAAAGATGCACAGAGCAGAAAAGGATGAAGGAATAGACCACAGATCTTGGGGGCAAGTCCAGGAATTCTGATGTGCAGACAGCAGGAGTCCTAAAAGGAGAAAAAGGGACAGCTGAAATGGAGGCATCGGCTAGTCAAATTACAGAAGAAAACTTTCATGACATGAAGAAAACGCAGTGTCGGCCAGGCGCAGTGGCTCACACTTGTCATCCCAGCACTTTGGGACCCTGAGACGGGTAGATTGCTTGAGGTTAGGA